TGTTACCTTTGAGTTAACTAAATATGGATCACTGAAAGATCATTCAAGCATATGCCCTACTCTTGTTTGCAAAAGGAGTCCAACTATTGGACAGTCCATATGACAGTTTAATTAATCTTCATAGCCAATGAAGTCATGTCCCTGAAAATGGACACCACCATCTTCCTCTCTCATTGGCAGCTTTCCTCTTCCTCTCTCTCTCTTACTGAGCTGCAGTGCCTTTTCTGTTCCTCTCTGCAAGCATAGCTGAGGGTGGGTTGGCCTGTTTTAGGAGACTGCTCTGCATAGGCCTCCTCCCATCTGAATATTACAAAGTTCAAGGCTTGTGAGTGTTGCTGACCCCAGGCTTTCCCACTAAGACCAGGTCTTAGGGGCCAATATGCACTCAGCCCAGAACAGATTCACATGAGTGTGAGAGTAACCAAGAGAGGAACAAAGGGATGATGCCTTACCTCCTAAGAATCCCTCTGCCATCCACATATTTGCCGATCACAGAGCCAGATCTCTGTTTCCAGCTTGTGTTGGGAGCAGCTGTGTTTGCCTTGGCTGCCTTATCTTTCTGTAGAAACACAAAATACCTTCAGATCCATTCCTGTTGATTTGTCCCCAGTGTTTGAGCAGAAAAGGGCTCAGTTTTCTCACCATATTTAACAGGCTCCAAACAAAAGTCTGAAGTAGGGGAGCCATGTTCTGGTCTACCTGTTAGTAGGTTCACCCACTCTTTCTGTTTGTTGTGATTCCCCACCAGAGTTTCTCTAGCTCCTCACTAATAGTCTAATCAAATGAATGCAAGCATCATTTAGTGCCCGGGGTCCCCTACATCATCCTTCACAAGAGTACTGATAATTTGTAAGAAGATAATTACAAGATACATGCTTAATGCAAAGGAAAATATTTATGGGCATAAGAGACTTCTGTGCATCTTTAAATCATACTCCTCTGCCTGGCTCCAATTCCTCTGCATTTCCAAAGCCCCACATATATAATGAGAAAGGGCCATCCCAGAGGGTCAATTAACCCAATGTCCTATCCAAAAGTGCTGAGCTAGCTGAAAGTATTTCAGTGCTTTTGTAGAAGGAGGCTGAGTGTAGACTAGTGACTCAAACATTTGTAACGGAGGACCTAGGTGGAGTAGGGACTTACAACCCCTTTGCCAGTGCTCCCTGACAGATGTCTTCCAGTTGCTGAGGAGGAGTGAGACCACAGGAAGAATCTCTCATTAATCAGTCTTCTCCTAGACTCCCTGTGATCCTTAATGAGAGAAGAAGGAATTGCGGAGCTCCCAGGGCCCCTGAAGGTATGGCTATAATGATTCCAAATTAATCTTTAATTATTATTCAGCATGAACATGATTTCATCATTCTTACTCCTATTTCCCATTAGGGTTCTTAATTCCCTTCTCCATTCAAAGCAAAATGAGTTTGGCAGGTGACGGGAGGTGAGGTCAAGTGATTAGGGTGACATTTGGTTGGAAGCTTTGAAATGAATTCAGTGTTACTTCTAAAACAATTATAACCATTGTCAGCATCAAACAAACATGTGTAGGTTTAAGCCTTGTTCTAATAGTGCACATAGGTGGGTGGCAGAAGCGTTGGTTGGCCAGTTGGGGATGTAGAAGAAATGGTGTAGCATCATCCCTCAGAGCCTTGCAGTTATAAACCAGGCTGGACCTAATTTCAGGCAAACTGACTGCCTTATGCTAACCATGTTTAAGCTACTGTTCAGCTAAGGGTTGAAAGCATATCGTCCTTCTCTTTTCAAGAATTTTCCCTCCCCTGTAGGGGAAAAAAGGCAGTTATTTCCTTTACCAAAGATCCCTAGTGGTGCAGTGGGTTCAGAAATGGACTGTTAACTGAGAGGTTAGCAGTTTGAACCTATCAGCTGTTCTGCAGGAGAAAGATGAAGCAGTCTCCTTCCATAAAGACTTCCCCTATGGGGCAGTTCCATGTCCTATAGGGTCACTATGTGTCAGAATCAACTTGATAGCAGTGGGGCTTCTCCCCCCCTCCCCCCCGGCCCGGTTTATTCCCTTTACTCATATGACAGTTGGGAGGTCATTGGAAGCAATGACTTCCTCAAGGTCATACATAAAATTCATGGTGTGAAAATTCTGAGAATTAAGAAGTTGTGTCTTCAGTCTAGCTTCCAGTTTTCTTCCTTGTTCAGCATCCAACAGCTGCTGTTGAAAGGAGAGGATGCATAGAGGAACACGGAATCTGAGATTTTCTTTAATGCATCCCAAAGTGAAGATCTTTAAATAACTATAGGATTTTGCGCTATTTGGGAATGTATGTACTGTTCAGGTATGGAGAGCAGAGGTCCCCAGAGGGTGAAAAAACGTACATAAAATTGACTCTGTAAAGTATGAAATATACATTTTAAATTTGTTATAGGATACTATAAAAATGCAAAATTATCATCAAGATATAAAAATTTAAGTGAAGAAAATGAACATTTTGATTGAATGTGATAAGGATGTTGAACCTGTGCCATTTCATGGATAGAACCATCATTTCTATGTTCAAGAAACGTCATGTGACGCCAAGAGAAAGGCGTGCTGCATCATGGAAATCAATGCACCGTTACTCAGTTGTTAAGTGCCGAAGAGTTGGTTCTGACTCATAACACGACCCTGTATAGGGTTTCTGAGGAGCAGCTGGTGAGTTTGAACCGCCGCCCACCTTGCGATTCACCCCAACCATCACCACCCAGTGCTTTATCCTACAGCGCCACACCAGGACTCAGTAGGCCACCTTATATTTTTATTGTTTTCAAATAACCCTCTGCTGTTGTCCTCCCCACACAGAAAGGATCAATCCAAATCCAAATCTCAGGACATCCTTGGATCAGTTCCAGCCTGGACTCTGGCTGCCCACAGCCCTTGATTTCCCCGAGGTAAGGAAAAGCATTGGCACTTACCTGAAAACGTATGTCCCGTTCATCCCGGAGGTGCTTGTTCCTTTCCCTGGGGGCAAAAAAGAAAATCAATTCAAACAGAAAACTTGTTTCTGTAGCTGGCAGTTGACTGATCCAATAACAGTTAGTTTGCCTTTCAGATGGGCCTCAGGGAAGGTCTGGTGCAGAAGGCCCAGGGAGTGTGTGTAATCTCTTTCCTTGGGAATTGTGGTTAATGGCAGAAAGTAGTTTGTGTGTGAGGCAGGGGGATTGCCAAAGTGGCCTTGTGATAACTCTGCACTACCTGTTCCTACCACTAGATGGCCTCCAAGTGAGGGGGTGGGGCGGCGGAGGCTTCCAGCTCCAGCTTCACCTAAGGACTTCTGATCACACACCCAAATGACATACTGTCTCTCTCTGAATCATTCATTCATTCATTCTGCATTGTTACTTAACAAATCATTTCCCAGCACTTCTCTCTGTTAGGCATTGTTCCAGGTATCAGGGTTACAACAAAGAACAAGACAAAAAGTTCCTGCCTGTAGGGCCTTTGTGTTTTAGTGCAGGGATACTTTTATCACTAAAGGTGCTCTGGTAGTGTAGTGGTTACAAATCAGGCTGCGAACCTCAAGGTAAGCAGTTCCAAACTACCAGCTGCTCCGCGGGAGCAAGATGAGGCTTTCTGCTCCCATAAAGATTTACAGCCTCGGAAACCCTATTCAGGGTCGCTATGGGTCGGAACCGACTCGATGGCACTTAACAACAACAACAACAACAACTCATTAAAGAGTTGCAGTCTTAGAGACCTAGTATGAGAGGCTTGCCTCACAGCCCCCTGAAAGCAGACCCTCTTTTGAATCTACCATGTGGCTTCTAGTAAATTCTACTTCCTCCTTTGCTGTAGCTCTAATTCTCAGACAAATGGCAGCACCACATGGTGAAGAGGACACAGATGTGAGAGAGCACAGTGGCCAGGTCATTTTACCACCTGGGAAAGGCCTCTCTCCTCTGGGCCTCTACTTTCCCATCTGTCAAAGTGGAGAATACATTCCTGTCATGCCTCGTCGGACAACTCTGAAGCTAACATATGACAGGCATGGATGCTTAGATGCTTATGATTTTATCCCTGTCTTCTATGGACCTTTTGATACTCCTTTCACAGTGTTGGGGGTGACCAAAGATATCTAAGATTTTTTGTGTGCCAGGGAAGTGTAGGTCTGTGTGCTGAAGGGGATGAGAAGGAGCCTGTAGGAGGTAGGGGTGCCTATGTTGGTGCCACTCAGGTCTCCACTCTTCCCTGCACAAGGGGATTTCAGAGGAATGGTGTGTAGGCAAGAATCTTAATCCAGGCCAAGGAGACATGGTGTAGGGGCCAAGGAAGGCTTCCTGGCACACATGCTAAGACAGCCATTTGGAAAAGTACAAGTTGGTAATGGCTCAGCTCTGAAAGGCTGCCACAGTGTGTGTGCCCCTTTCACATAGTCATGGGCACATTCTAAGCTGCTTTACAAGGTCAAGTGGAGGGTGGAGGGCTTGAGGAGACCATTCCGAGGCCTGGATCACAAACAAGGGAGGAGTGATCATCACCAGAAACTGCAGGAAGCTCTTTCATGTGGTCGTCCTTCTACCTGCAGAACTCAGCAAGAAGAGTGGGTGGGCAGTTTAGAGTCACACCAAAAAGAGGAGCAGGCAGGGTCATGTAGAAAGAAAAGGAGCATCTTTTCAATTCGTGGATTAATAAAGAACTGAGATTGTAAACTGGTGTGTAAAATTTCTAAAGCAGGGATTGGCCCTATTGAGGGCAGTTAAATCATAGAAAAAGAAGATGTGTGGTTTTTAAAGCAGGTGATGTTTTTATGCTAAGAGCCTACTAGGGGTTTAGCATAAGTAGGTGCTTAATATATGCTTTTGAATATGCATCAGAACAAAAGCATAGGGGAGGAAATGGGGCCAACAACAGAGGTATAAGGAGGATTTGTCAGGAGCCCATAGCCCTCACCTAAGCAGTGGGGGGGATACAAATATGGAGATTACACGACAAGCTGCCTCTTGGAGGTTCATGGGCTCAGATGCAAGAAACTTGTCACAGGGATGATGTCTATTACCTTAGACAGGGCTTCTTTCCCAACAGGCTGTCCTCGGGGAGAGGTAGGTGTGACTTCCAATGGTGGGTCCTGCCGGGTTTGTCCATTTTCTTGCTGATCAGAGACCTCCTCCTCTTCTGGGCATCTGCTCAGCGGCTGCTCAAGGCCAGCATCCAGGAGCTGGGGCAGGGGGTCTTCTTCAATGGAGATGATTCTGCGGAGCCTCTGGGGAGGTGGACCCCCAGTTCCTGGCTCCCCTTCCGTCAGGGGACATCCACTCAGGCCCAGGGAGCTTCTCCTCCTCATGATGCCAAACACATCTTCCTCCTCCTCTGATGGGCTGTTTTGGGGTGGGGAAGAAAAGAAGAGGCGGGGCCTGTCCTAAATGATAGCAGTATGGAAGCTGATAGCTTTGTGACAAATGGAAAAGTGGACAGCACCACACACCGGGAGAAGAGAAGTCTGGGAATAGCAAGAAGTGAAAAATAACACAACTAAAGCAGAAACAGGCATTCTTTAACTCATGCAATTAACACACTTCTATTACGTGTCAGGAGATGAACAAGATGGTGAAGAAGACCACTACCATGCATTACACTTAAGACGTTCACATGGACACACATAGTCTCTGACCTCAAGGAGAGCTTGGACTTGTTTCCATTAAGTGCCACCATGTTGGTTCTGACTCATAGCTACCCCGTAAAGGGTTTCCAAGGCTGTAAATCTTTGGGCTAGTAGAAAGTCTTATTTTTCTCCTGTGGAGTGGCTGGTTGCTCGAACCACTGACCTTGTGATTAGCAGTCCAGTGCTTATCCTACAGAGCCATCGTACTCTCCCAAACTTGTACTAGTGGGAGTTTAAAGCCATAATGACACTAAAAATGACACCTTCATAAGTTGTGAAAAGTGCTAAGGAGAAGTGCAGGGTATAAAGCAAGGAATATATCAGATCCAGAAACAATGCACCCTAGATTAGCACTTGGGGCCTTGGCTCTGCTCTTAGTAGTTAGTAAACAAACACTTACTTCGTGTGTGTCTTTAGATACGACACCTCAACTCTTCAAGCCTCAGTTTCCTCATCCATAAAATATGGACCATTTGCTCTGCCCATCAGAAGACTTGGTGGCACACAGGTTAACCGACTGCTAACCGAAAGCTGGGTAGTTCAAATCCACTAGCAGTTCCATAGGAGAAAGACATAACCATCTGCTTCCATAAAGATTACTGCCTTGAAAACCCTGTTGGGCAGTTGCACTGACTTGATGGCAGCTCAGGGCACTTGGCCATTTGAGGCTGGGCTTTGGATTGGGAGGAAGGAAGGAAGGCAGGCAGGGGACCTCCATTTCCCTCTCCTTTCTTTCTGCTTCTCTTTCAGTGTCCCTGGAAGTTAGAGTCAGGAGCAATTGGTTGCAGATGCCTGTGTTCATATGTGTTCCCAGAATTACCTGAGCACCAAAGGCAAGGAGAGGTAGTAAGGCAACTTGAGGTAGTACAGACAGTCTGTAATTCCGAAATGTTTTGAGAGCAAAGGCCTCTTAGGTCCTTTTCAATAAGGGAGTTCCCCTCAATGCTTTGTAAACAACTAAAACTGAAGATTGTTTTACAGAAGGAGCCTCGGGGCACAAATGATGAAGAGCTTGACCACTAACCAAAGTTGTTGGCAGTTTGAACCCACCAGTTGCTCCCTGGGAGAAAGATGTGGCAGTCTGTGACTATGGTAGAGATTTACAGCTTTGGGAAGCTATGGGACAGTTTTACTCTGTGCTGTTGGATGACCATGACTCAGAACTGGCTGGATGGTAATAAGTTTTTTGTGTATTATTTTAAAGATGTAGGAGTTTGAGAAGGAGGCTATTCCATCTAAATGGAAAAAACAAAAAACAAAAGCCAATTGGCAAACAATACCAACAACAATTAGAATTAGGGGAACAAAGCAAATCAAAACAGAATTGAGATGAGTAGTGAGGTGATTGGACTCCTGGTGTGGTGCTGTAGGATCAGCGCTGGATGATGAACCACAAAGCTGGTGGTTCAAACCCACCAGCCGCTCCTCAGAAACTTTATAAAGAATCGCTCTGAGTTGGAGCCAAGTTGACAGCATTAACAACAACAAGTGAAGTGATAGGGTCAAAGGAGAAAGAGCTGAATACAAAGAACTGCAAAGTGTCCTCTGTTTTGCCTCCTAATTTATATTTATTACTTCTTCTAAGGACCAACAAGGAGCACAGTGGCTCTGCAGAATAAACATTGGACTGTGACCCACAAAGTTGGTGGTTTGAGCCTACCAGCCACTTCACAGGAGAAAGACGAGGCTTTTTGCTCCCACTAAGATTAACAGCCCTGGAAACTCGATACCAGGTCACTCTGAGTTGGAATTGACTTGATGGCACTTAGCAACAACAAGGACCAACAAAGGACATCTGATGGTGTTATGTTTAAGCACGTGGCTGCTAATCGAAAGGTTGGGGGTTCAAATCCAGCCAGCCACTCCATGAAGAAAGACCTGGTGAGCTGCTTCTGTAAAGACTGTTGTTGTTATTAGGTACCATCGAGTCGATACCGACTCATAGCTACCATATGCACAACAGAACGAAACACTGCCCCATCCTGGGCCAACCTCACTATTGTTGCCACACTTGAGTCCATTGATGCTGCCACTTGGCTAATCCATCTCGTTGGGGGTCTTCCTCTTTTTGTCTGAACCTCCACCTTACAAAACATGATATCCTTCTCCAGCGACTGGTCCCGCCTGACAATATGTCCCAAGTATGAGAGACGAAGTTTGGCCATCTTGGCCTCCAAGGATCACTCAGGCTGCACTTCTTCCAAAACGTATCT